GACCAGTTTTAATACATGACTGAGTTTTCTCAAGGGAGATCAATGGCTTTCATGCCAGGGCAGTGAATTGTGATTTGCGTTGCCATAAATTAAAGAGAGGAGGTTTGTTTTTCCTGGCTGTGTAAAATATGGAGCATCCCTGCAGGATGGGATCTGGGCTTCTTCTTAACCTGGAGAATTGATGAGTCTAAGTGCTAAGTTTCTTGCAGGAATGTGGCATGATTTAAGGATGTGTTGCAGGAAAAATTAAACTTGTATTGCACATTTCAGGTAAACAATGTCCTTTCCAGCCTATATACACAACTCAGTCCTACTTTAACTTCCTGGTCTCTAGGTGTGTTTTGGATCTATAACTCTGAAAATTCCCAAGATAGATGGATGGATGGATAGATAGATGGATAGATGGATTGGATTGGATAGATGATGAATAGAAGGATGATAGAGACGGATGGATAGGTGGGTTGGTTGGTGGGTAGATGGATGATAGAGATAGATAGATAGATAGATAGATAGATAGATAGATAGATAGATAGATAGATGATAGATGAGAAAGAGAGATATTTCCTTCTAATGTCCCTTAAAGCTCCAAATTTTTGCTGTGTCAACATCAGGATCAACCTAAGCATGTTTTTTTTTATAAATAAAAGGAGAAAATTACGGGCAACCCAGTTCAAAATACGATTCCCAAAAAGATGCTCCTACCTCTTAAGGGATTCTCTAGGGCGAAATCACTTTTTGACTCTTCATTCTTCCTTAATGTTGCAAGTTGGAAGAAAAAAGCAATGCAAAATAATGACATGAAATGAAAAGGCCAAAGGCCCCGTGATGCTGGATCCTCTTTGTGGCTGAATCTGGACTCTCTCTGCTCCTCAGCAAGTAATTAGGGTCCTGCTTACATCTTAATGATTGTATAAAGAGAGGAGACGTCAGGCTTTTTGTTCAGGAACTGTGGATTTTGCTTTTTAACTTTCTCTGAGGCTGAAATAAATCCTGCCTTGTCCTTAATTTAGAGCCTTTCAAGAGAGATGTGTGACTGAGCTGTGCGAACAGCCCAATTCTTCATTTCCTTGTTATTAAAAGAACAGAAGTTTTCTTCTGCCTAACAACAAGGATGGAGCATTGTGGTTAATGAACACGACTGAACAACAACAACAACAACAAAAAAAGCTGAACAAAACTCCACACTGGCAATAAGAAGGGCACCCGGCCAGTAAACACTCTGCTCCATTCACTCCATTCAAAGAATGGACGCCTTTCCTGGATCCAGAGCCACGTGAAAATGAGGTCTTAAGGATGTGGACACATTCCCAGTTCTTGTTTGAGGCCTTTCCCCCCCCTCCCATCTTTTGTTTCTGCTCTTCCCTGTGGTCTGAGTTGGGAATCCTCAAAAGTCCTGCTTTCTGTGGCCTTTGGATCTGCTCCAGGAGGTGATCTCACCTGTCTGTGTTTATAAAATGCCTTCAAGCCTTGAAGAGGCAGCGTCTCCTGCAGTGATAAACCTTTGGGTTACATGGATTTGGTGTGGCGCTTTGAATCGGGAAGCATATTGTTAGTTTTGAAAAGAAGGAAGGAAGGAGGCAGGAAGGGAGGAAGAGAGTAGGAAGGAAAAAGAGGGAGCCAAGGAAGGGAGGGTGGAGGGAGGAAGAGAATAGGAAAGGAAAAAAGGCGGAAGAAGGAAGGAGGGAGGGAAGGAAGGAGGGAGGAAGACTAGGAAGGAAAAAGAGGGAGCTTAGGAAGGGAGGGAGGAAGAGAATTGGAAGGAAAAAGAGGGAGTGAAGGGAGGAAAGAAGGAGGGAGGGAGGAAGAGAGGAAGGAAAAGGAGACAGAAGGAGGGAGGGAGAAAAAAAGAGGGAGAAGGAAGGAAGAGAGGAAGGAAAAAGAAGGAAGGAGGGAAGAAGAGAGTAGGAAAGAAAAAAGGCAGAAAAAGGAACAAGGGAGGGAAGGAAGGAGGGTAGAAGAGAGAAGGAAGGAGAAGGGGAGCTTAGGGAGGGAGAGAGGGAGAGAGGAGGAAGAAGGAATTGGAAAGAAAAAGAGGGAGTGAAGGAAGGAAAGAAGGAGGAAGGGAGGAAGGAAAAAGGAGAAGAAGGAAAGAGGGAGAAGAGAGTAGGAAGGAAAAAGAGGGAGTGGAGGAAGGAAGGAGGGAGGAAGAGAATAGGAAGAAAAAAAGGGAGAAGAAGGAATGAAGGAGGGAAGGGAAGGAAGGAGGGAGGGAGGAAGAGAGTAGGAAGGAAAAAAGGAGAGAAGAAGGAATGAGGAAGGGAAGAAGGAAGGAAGGGAAGGAAAAAACCCCACCTCTCCCAGAAAATCCATCTTTTGAGCAAGTGTGTTAACTTGACAAGCTGTCAGAAGCTAAGCTTCATTTAATCATGGCTTAGTCTTTGGGGAGATGTCACTACAAATGTCATTCAAAGTGTGACAGATATTTTTCTAAATTATTGTTCTGTGGAGGAGCAATCGGCCCATTACAGAGGTAATAGAAAAGAGGATCATCCCTGCAGAAACAGATAATAATTTTCAGAGCAGGTTCTTGCCCGAAAAGGTGCTTCTATGTTTATTTACTTACTTACTTATTTTATAGGATTTGTATGTAACCCCCTCCTTCTTTACTTCCGGGTGGCTCGTAATAACGATGAGGATGATATCAGCGTAGAAAGATGAAATCAAAAATCAAAAACTAGCAAAATAGAATGAATACTATAATATTGACACAAAAGTTATCCATCAACACAGAATCGCTACGAAATTAAGCAGTTCCTGGGCACAATCGAGAGCAGCAGATTGTCCAACCGCCTGGTTCCAAAAACCCAGCTCAAATGATGCCAGGAAAGGAATAATGTGATATTTTTCATTTTATATATTAATTTTCAAACAAGGTTGTGGTTTTGAGTTGCCAGCAGGGATGGTGAGGGAATGTTCTTTCTGGCACTTTCTCTTGAGGCGAAAAACTCTTCAATATATTGGACTCTTTTTATCTTCTGCCTAGATATTTGGGGCAATGGATTTGCCCCTTGAAATGGTATGAGAGGCTGGCTAGTCAGGAAATCTAGTGGATCATCCTGAGAAGATCTCTGGGGATTAATTGCCCACCCCTGAGTAGAAGGTGTAAATTCTTAGAGAGCTTCTACTGCATTGTAAACAAATAAGTTGTTTATTCATTGGTGTCTGTCCCCCTCTCTCCCTCTCTCTCTTTCTCCCTATTTTTCTTTCTCTTTCTCTCCCCCTCTTTCTCTCTCTTCTCTCTCTCTCTCTTTTTCTCTTTCTCTTTTTCTTTTTCTTTCTCTCTCCCTCTCTCTCTCTCTTTCTTTCTCCCTTTCTCTTTTTCTCTTTCTCTCTTTATTTTTCTTTCTTTCTCCCTCTTTCTCTCTCTTCTCTCTCTCTTTCTCCTTTTCTCTTTCTCTCTTTCTTTCTCTTTTTCTTTCTCTTTCTCTCTCCCTCTTTCTCTTCTCTCTCTTTCTTTCTCTTTTTTTCTCACTCTTTCTTTCTCCCTTTCTCTTTTTCTCTTTCTCTCTTTATTTCTCTTTCTCTCTTTTTCTCTTTCTCTCTCATTCAAGTTCTCAGTTATTTGCATGAGAACAAAAGCCAGCCTCTCTCTTTTTCCTCTGTATAGAAAAACAGTAACCCAATAATAACCCAGCCTAAACATAGATTAAAAAGCAATCTCTTCCTACCCCGAGGCTAACCATTTCCAGAGATGTATCATTCTTGTCAAAGTCTTAGAACCAAGGAGTTAATATTTGAATTTTGCTGTCAGGTCTGATTTTTTCTGCTTCCTTTCTGGGTGTAGAACATACGCTCTCTCCTATCATCTAAGGAAATAGAGTTTTTTAAAAAAGGTAAGCCACGAGTGTGCAGTAGATGCCCCTTTTGTACGGTGCTGCAGATGTGATCCCTGTTTTTTAAAAAATCCAAGAGTTTAACAGAATAACAGAGTTGGGAGGGACCTTGGAGGTCTTCTAGTCCAACCCCTTGCTCAAGCAGGAAACCTACACCATTTCAGACAACATCTTTTTAAAAACTTCCAGTGTTGGAGCATCCACAACTTCTGGAAGGCAAGTTGTTCCACTGATTAATTGTTCTAACTGTCAGGAAATTTCTCCCTAGTTCTAGGTTGCTTCTCTGTTCTGACCAAACCCTGTTACCAGCAAGAAAATCTCAAACAAACAGTAGCAGCTCAAACCTTCACAGCTTTAATCCACAAATAAACTTCTTTGTAGATAAAAATGGCTTGCAGACAATTAGTCCAACCAGAAAAGCCTTGACAGAATTCTTCAGATAAGCCAGAGTCTCTACACACAATGCTGGGTCCTTAGAGTGTTTTTGCCTTTTGCAAAGGCAAAAACCTTTTGAAACCAGGCTTATATTCCCTGGAGGGAGGGGCCATTTTGTTGCATCCTTACTCCTGAGTCGCCTGTGCTGTTCCAGCTGTTCTCTTCTATGAATCATCCTGCGTTCACGCACACTTGGCACAGGCTCCTCGGGAACCTCCTCATCACTGCTGCCAGCCCCCCACAATCCCTGAAGGCAGCAGTCCACTCCCTGATGGTCCTTCTCTCCTTGATTAGTTTCCACCCATTGCTTCTTGTCCTACCTTTGGGTGCTTTGCATAGTAGCTTGACCCCCTCTTCTTTGGAGGGCAGCCCCTCCAATGCTGGAAGGCTGCCATTCATGTCTCCCCTAGTCCTTCTTTTCATGAAACTAGACATACCCAATTCCTGCAACCATTCTTCATACATTTTAGCCTCCAGTCCCCTAATCCTTTTCATTGCTTTTCTCTTCTTCTCATGGATGAGCCTGAATAGGAATTCATATGCAACCTAAAACAATCTTCTTCTGGGCATTAAGGGAAGGGATTTGAGCATTGCTAACTGGTTTAATGAGATTATACGCAGACAGAGATTTCCTCCATTATCGGCAAGGTCCTCCCTAGTCATTCCTTGTTCAGGATGTCTATCAATCATTATCCAGCTTGCATTGTGTGAGCTCCTGTTGCTTAACTCGATTTCTTGTTAATTCTTCAGGCCTTGTTGCTGTTGGGAGCGGTCTCTTTGATGTGCCTCGCTCTGGATCTCCTGTTCCTCCTCTTTTACTCCTTCTGGTTGTGTTGCCACCATCGGAAGAATGAAGAACAACTGAATGCGGATTGTTGCTGTACGGCATGGTGCGTCATCATTGCAACTCTAGTGTGCAGGTGAGTGTTGCCCCATCTGAAGTTGCCTTTCCTACAAGGAGCAGGGCCCAGCCCAGGTAACCCAACTGTTGGGACCTGAGGAATTCCAGAATGGCAGCTTTGCTCCTCTAGGATTTCTCAAATTAATTCAGAATAGAGCTGGAAGGGACCTGGGAGGTCTTCTAGACCAACCCCCTACTCAAGCAGGAGATCCTATACTATTTCAGACAACTGACTGCCCAGTTTCTTCCTGAAAACCTCCATTGATGGAGCACCAACAACTTCTGAAGGCAACTTCTGTTCCACTGGTTAATTGTCCTCACAATTGGGAAGTTTCTCCTTAATTCCTGGTTGCTTCTCTCCTTGATTTGTTTCCATCCTTTGCTTCTTGTCCTGCCCTCTGGGGCTTTGGAGAGTAGCTTGACCCCCTCTTCCTTGTGGCAGCCCCTCAAATACTGAAATATTGCTATCATCTTCTATCAAATTCTGCCTCTGAATATTTGTAGTGCGGCGAAGGAGATCTTAACTATTTCCACTTGATTATCGTTGGATAGATTTATATCAGAGTTGTGCAATGCTTCAAATTCACTTCCAAAACTGGACTTCAAAATGTGCAGGAGCGTTAACGTAGCCACTTCCTGCTGTCCTTTGAAAGCAGCTGTGCCTTTTTCCAACTTCAGAAGACTTCTCTCCACATTTGAACTCAAAGCATCACACATCAACCCTGTCCTGGGTTGGGTTGGCCCAAACATGACCCCACGAGGGATCAGTCCTGGTTGTTTTCTTGCAAACATTTCATCACCCAAGAAATATCTGCAAAACAAACAAACAAACAAACTAGTTACTCTCCTAACTAGCACGGATGATGTTATCTGGTTGGGTAACGAAACATCTGCAAGAAAACAACCAAGCTCAGAGAGCACCAAGGGCCCCACAATCCTTCTATTCCTCCTCCTCTTCCTCACACTCCTCCCCTCCTCCTCCTCCTCTCTGCAAACCCCACTCCCTTCTAGCACTGATGATGTTACCTGGTTGGGTAACAAAACATCTGCAAGAAGACACACCAAGCTCAGCGAGCGCTTAGAACCCTTCACTTTCAGCCCTTGAGCTACGAAGATTCTCTGTTATTGGTACACATTTCCATCAACTTTGCTAACTGAGTTTGAACCCGGTTAACCGGGAGAGAAGGAAACACTTCGTCCTTTGCAATGTGTCAGCATGTTCTTGCTAGATTTTGAAATTTTTTCTGCTCTCCGGAAATAGTAAGGAATAGCGGAACTTAAGAAGAGAGGAACAAGAGGGCAGGAAGCAGACACCATGAGACGGGGAAGTGGGGCTTGATTCGAACTGTAGACTTCTAGTATCTGTATCTTTAAGGTGCCAGCATGTTGGATGTGGAAAGAGAGGCTTTTCCATCGCGCCCCCAAATAGCACCTTCTCCTGGCGCTGAAGAAGAAGGTGGTAATGAAATGTGAAAATTAGCTTGGGCCTCAAGAGAGATTTTTAAGGTGTGGGCTGCGTTCAAAGGATTTCAGCTTGTGAAACCCCTCTTAATTAAAGACACATTATTATTATTATTATTATCTCTTTTATTCATTAAACATGAAACTCAGTCAATGGAACATTTAAAAATGTATCCCAAATATCATTGACTGGCGCTGTTGGTTGATACGGGTTGCTGTCAGCATCCTAGATATTAACTTCAACTTCTTCTTCTTCTTCTTCTTCTTCTTCTTCTTCTTCTTCTTCTTCT